TCATTTAAAGCAAGCCATTTATGAACTGGTGTAAAGTTCTTGTCCATTTCCATACATGATAAGTTATATTTATAAAGGATATCCTTGTTAGATTCGAACACAGACTACAGAGTGAATAAAAAAAAATTAGCATTGAGCAATTTAAGTGGTATTTATAGTAAAGTAGAATATATCACCTTAACAGTAAAAAGGAGTTTAATGATATCAGTAATACCAGTGAACGATGCATATTTAAAGGAATAGTTGACCTTCAGCATGCGTTCAGCAACAAACGTTTTAGGAGCACCTAAATTCACCCTAAACAGCTCACCTTCATACTCTATACGTTGGACAAAATACTTTAATGTAAATGTATAGCATTTAATAAAGTATAACAGTACAAAAATACTTACTGTACACCACGTATGCTAATACGTAATACTTAGATGCCAAATTCACGTCACCATTTCCACCCAAAATAATCTACATAACGAATCTACAGAATTCCGAAAGCTTTTTAGAAGATCATTACGATATTTGCCATTTTTTGTCTCCAAAGGCGGTCCGATGTTCTCAAAAATGAAAAATTCATGATCATCGTCGTCATAATTAAAAAGAATCCCATCAGCCTTGCGTGCTAAAGCACCCGTGCCATAAACCAATTCACGTCGCCATTTAGAAGAAGGAACATCATTCTCATTCCTATTAAAGAAGGTTTGATTGTTATATCAGCACGCTAATGTGAAGGTTTGTTTCATATATTCAACCTACCATCGTGAGATAAACAGACCCGGAAAACATGTCTTCAGAAATTCAAAATCTGGAGATATTACTGTCGATGTATAAGTGTTTTCATCCATTAATGCGTCTAGTTGATCTCCATGCCCTACCCTCAACTGCATGAGTTTATATTCCAACACTCGTTTTATAAGGTCGAATTGTTTCTCATCAAACCCATCTATGGCTGTGGTTGCCTGAAGGTTTGATATCGTATTATCAATCTTGCGCTAAAAGAAAATTAACATTAGACCAGATAAATAAATAAATAAAAGATATGCACAATCACCCTCTTACTGCATAATTGTTTCTGAACCAATTTTTAAGTCCAGTAATGTTGAAATCTAGAAATGGTTCGGATTTTGCTTGTTCTTTTAGTATTTTTAAGAGATCTTTATTTGCAAGAGAACGATTTGCGCTAATGTTTACTATATTAGCTTCGATCAACCTGTTTCCAACAAAAATGATCATATTAAATGATTGGTTTGAAATTATTGGTGAAATCATTTAGTACCTTTCTTCATATTCGTCGTCGGACAAATCATCATCTCCTAACTCGAGGTCATTTATTTTCGACCAACATTTCTTGCAAATTTCAGCGGGAGAACATCCTTCAATATGGTCGTCGTTCTTCTGAACTTGTTTTAATTCGGAATATCTGGAGGAACTGGAGAGTAAGAGACTATTAGAATGTTTCCATTTGTTAAGTTGTTAAGTAATACACAGCGAATAAGAAATGGAAGGCTTACCGCTGAATTTCCTTTTTACGCTTATTCGGAATTGTTGCAATTGGAGTTAAATGGGTTTGCGGTGGAGTTTTAGGTGCAGGTGGAGATTCCATCGATTGCGAATGAACAGTACTACTTACTCTCCTTATCTTTCCCGATTTCTTTTCTCTGTCCGAATCATAGTAATTAACACGTTTCATTTGTCGAGGAGATCTGCGGTCTGAAGGTTTTTCCTATGGGAGCCATAAAAACAATATATTCATAAAAATTCAGCTATATAATTAAGTATTGCTTAGAGACCTACATGATTCCCTTTAATACTAAAATTGCCTTCACTGGTTCCTATTTGAGAACCGCCCGAAAACGTATTATTATAAATACTAAAAGTGGATCCGCTACTTCCTGGCTTAGATTTTATTGCCCATTGTTCTTTGGCAGATTTGCGATCCTTATCCTGTTAAGAAAGGTTTTAGAATTAGCAAAATG